GTGTCTGCTGGGCGGCGATCAAACGGACAGGGCAGCGCTTTTCACAAGCGGAGACCACTACTAGACGAATCATGTCATTTGTTATTTATTTATTTTTATCTCTGTTCTTTTGTCGTAAGTTATGCTATTACTCCATTAATTTATACTAGCCTATCCAGCGGTCCCTGAATGCAGGCTCTGATTTATTGCCAGTCAAGCGCAAACAGGCTGCAGGGACGAGTCTATAACGACTTTGATCTGATCATAAAGTCTTTCCGAGTCACAGGGCTCAAGTCCAAGTCAAGTCTCGAGTCATTGCTGTCAAAGTCTAAGTCGAGTCTCAAGTCTTCTTTAATTATGTCGTGTCGAGTCGCAAGTCATCAAATTTGGGACTCGATTCCGAGTCAAGTGACCCGAGTCCACACCCCTGCGATATTACATGTTCTATATGATTCCGATCATAAAACATTAAATGTCATTTGCATTTACGATGTACAATAAACTAAAATTATTTGACATATTTCACCTGAGAAAGGCTTTTGCATATTTTGGAGTGAGCTGTTTAGTTGACAACCGCTCGGACCGTTCAGTATGATTCGTGAGTGATTCACTTAAACCGGTTCATTTGAATCATCAAAATGATTCTATTCTACAGAAGATTCGTTCATGAATCAGCGATTAGTCGAGTCTCAAGTCTTCTTTAATTATGTGGAGTCGAGTCTCGAGTCATCAAATTTGGGACTCGAGTCCGAGTCAAGTCTCGAGTCACAAGTCCACACCCCTGAAAATCTGTATGCAATGACTTCATACATTTTATAGATTTGAGACACTTCATTTTAGTTTTATACAGTTGCTTTTTAGGTATTTGAGGTATATTGATTTCAATCATCATTGTTGTTGAATTTTATCATATATTTTAATTAAATGAACAGAAATTATTCAAAGATTTTAAATGTAATGCAAATTATATAAAAAAAGTGATGCTCAAAAAATAATTATAAAACCTTGATGTATCAAATAGGATAGAAACACGATCACGAGTCCCGAATACGAAGTTCATTAGCGACTCCAAAAAGAAAAAGTGCCAACTCAATGCTGTAGCGTCACTCTATAGAGCAGATTATATCAGTTGTGCACTGAACGCTCACTTAAATGCAAATAGAGATAAATTAATGTCTTGTATTTCTTGTATAAATTAATGTAGCATGTCTTAGTTTGCGTTTGTCGCTCTGTTAAGCACTCCTTGTGTTTAATTTTCATATTACATATGTGGGTCATTCTCAAACAATGCAGATTTTCTGATTTACAGATTTTGACATTTTTAATTTAATTCAGTTTTCTCCCATAAAAGTGGTGGTTAATGTTTATTTGGACATTATTAAAAATGATAATTTAATATTTGGTCAATATTTTTTTGATTATCTTGTTTTATTTCACAAATGAAAAAGAGTGTGTTTTCATTAGGATTCTAAGTGTCTGTATCATCTAAAAACACACTAATTAATCAAAAATAAATAATTACAACATTAAGCACTTTTTGAACTGAACATCTTTTAAATGAACATTTAGTAATGCAACGGCATCTTTAAATTAAACAATATTTTTAAATGTATTTTTACATTAAAATATAAAATTACAAGTAACATTTTTTAACATTAAAAATGTAAATAAAATTAATAATTAATGTAATTAATAAAATGAATGACTGTAATTAATAAAATACATTTACAATTTTTAATTCAGTCATTTAGTTAAATGACAAATTAACCAAATATGAACAATTTTGAATAACTTCTTCAACGTAGAGGCAAAATCCAACATATCCACAACTTCTTACATTGAACCTGAAAGTACTTTTCTAGAATGTTTTTGTATTATCAAGCAATAAAAAAATATGAAATAAAAAAGGTGAAATTCTTCAATAAAAGTGTCTAAATCCTGCTTATTCCCCACCACTTAGATGAGACAGGCAGTGATTTATTTATTAATTCAGAATCCGGAGTGGAGACGGTGAAGAAGTAATCTGTATTACTCACAGACTCTAATCTTGACGAGTTCTGCCAAGAGGGATTACCCTACAAACACATCATAAGTGATGGCAGGAGAATACTTGCTCATATAACACACACGCCACTGCATCAAAGGCTGCGGACGGCTTGTCATGCACTCAAAGGAAGAACACACTTGGCAGGAAAAGCGAATTATAACCAGACAAGTAACACACAGAGCCTTGGAATACATCAGACAGCCTCTCAAAACTACTGGAGGGCGGAAGAGTGATAGAGAGCTCTTCACCAGCACGGATGTGAAGAAAGCATACAGAAAATGAACGGGACAGGGCTATCATAAACCATTTTCATACCGTCAGAACTCTGTAGTGCATGCCCTGGATGAAATAATAATAGAAATTCCCCGGTGTGCATTTTAGAAACATGAATGACAGCATCCCTTCCTGTTTGTACAACTTTTTGTTGTATAAAATTTAGTGTTGCATTTAAAACTGGTATATATTAATATGCAAATACATTGTATGTTTTAGTTTTTATTTCATTTGAATACATTTAACTGAAATTTAGTTAATATAATACTGTATTTTAACGCATATTATCTTTTTCCACAAAAAGATGTGTGAGATCAAAACAATTGGCAGATCCTCTATTGAACAAAATGTAGAAATGAAATCTGAAGGTCACAGTTTTGTTGTTACAGTGACTAACCGATTTGCTGTTTAAACATTGTGAATCTACTGTAAATCTGATGAACTTCAATTTCTTATGACATAAAAAATGAGCTTGCATCCAAACCCGTACGTAAGCATATGAGAATGAGGGAAGACAGAAAGCTAAAATATACTTCAGCAATATTCGGTTCTGACAGTCAAGGCGCAACTATAAAGAAAATGAGGTAACTTTATAAAGGAAAATTAGTGTATTCAGCTGTAGTTGGTCATTTGGTGCATGAATGGTCATAGCATGAATTAACAAACTTTGGTTACTATAATTCAAGCATTTCCAAAGTCCAGCTTAAATCTTGAATTTCCTGACAAGAAAAATAAAACCTCAACCAAGAGACCGAAACACAAATGACTGTATAGTTTCTGTAATCATAGTCATAGCTGGATCATAAATGGAAGAAAGACTGACCTTATGGAAACTGCCATAGAAAATCTTCTTAATTTCACTTCCTTCGAAAGTCACCGTTTGAAATTCTCCCTTGTAGTCGGAATTGAAGAAGGTTAATGTTTTCCCTCCGTCTGAAAACAGACAAAAAAAATTAGACTCAAGGGTTTTACTGTAGATCTTTTAAGTCAGCGGGGTTCTCAACTGGTTTTCTTTCAGGACTAAGATTTTACATTGGACATCAAGTGTAGACTTAGTCAAATATGTACTCCTTATGTCCAGCAATATGCAAAATTAACATGTCACAGGCTGAATCAGGAAAACTGACCATTTTGGTTTTAGCTACATTTCAGTGTTTTTTTGCTAGTGTAACTTCATGAGTGTATGGTTAGTTGCATTTTATTATTTGCATTTAGCAGTGTCACTGTTTACAACCCATTTTTGGGTCACGACCCACCAGTTGAGAACAGAGCATGTGAGCAGAGTGGAGCAGCAACAATTTCCCCTCTGCACTCCAAGCATTCAATAATCATTCAGCTCCGGGTTCAGCATTTCCCGCTCCTCGCTCCACTGATCAGAAACACCGCTCCGCCTTCACTCAATGACGAAATTTGCAGCTAAAGTATTTCAGTATGTTTTGAAATATCACAAAGTTCTGTTCAGAACTTATATTAAACGAAAAATACTAGACAATACTAGATGTATATTTTTAACGTATTAAATGACTGTTTAACTCACTTGTCTGTGCATCATCTCTCTACTTTTGCGAAGCTGAGGGTTGAAGTTACTTCAGAAACAGAAAGAATATGCTGCAACTTTTCTGTTTTTAAGCTGATAAATCACAGGACAGCGTTGACAATCATTTTCTGCAGTCCCAGAATGTGTGCGTGATCTGTATGTTTTATGCGAGCTTGTGTGTTGTTCGCGCGTGCAGCAATGTAGCAGCACATTAGTTTAGAGCGCAGATTAAATACCTGCACAATAAACTGTTTAAAACGTGAATTCACCCAATCAGTATTGAGTATCCGCATGCTACAAACAAACATACTTGAGATATAACCTCCCGCACTCGTCCATCACCATCATTATACAACATTCACCTTCTTTCTGATTTGAGGGATCCACATATCTGTCAAGCTTGATAAAATGCAGATATTTTATGGGCTGATGGCATTAATTGTGCATGTGATGGAGCGGTAGTGAAGTGCTCTCGGAGCGAGTGAAAACCACCGACACTGACTTTCGAAACAAAATCCACTCCTCGCTCTGCTTCCACTCTACTCCGCTCACATACTCTGGTTGAGAAGCACTTTTTGATAAACATATAATTGATCAAAAGGGGAAAAAATATGTTGTACATTACAGTAGGAAATATTTAAACAATTTATATCATTATTAAATAATGATTAAATTAAGTTTTTTTTTTAATTAAGGATGAAAGATTTTATGTTGGGGCTGCATAGGGGCATAAAAGAAATCAAAAAGAGTAATACTCACTATCCAGGATAATGCCCACCAGTGGCTCATTGTTTTTGTCAAGGATTTCCCACAATGCAAAAGGTTCCTGAGGAGTTTCAGGCAGTATGCGGAACAGCATAGATATAGTGTATCTTCTCCTCTCCTCTTCCTTTTCTGGCCTTTGATAAGACAGAGGTGCTAGACTGGGCCTCAAAACATATAATTGATCAAAAGGGGAAAAAATATGTTGTACATTACAGTAGGAAATATTTAAACAATTTATATCATTATTAAATAATGATTAAATTAAGTTTTTTTTTAAATTAAGGATGAAAGATTTTATGTTGGGGCTGCATAGGGGCATAAAGGAAATCAAAAAGAGTAATACTCACTATCCAGGATAATGCCCACCAGTGGCTCATTGTTTTTGTCAAGGATTTCCCACAATGCAAAAGGTTCCTGAGGAGTTTCAGGCAGTATGCGGAACAGCATAGATATAGTGTAGTCAGAGGGAAGGCCTTCTGGATGTAGATACCTGTCAACATAAATCATACATATGCAAACTCCTTCACGCCAGGTTTGAAATGAAAAACTGAAACGATTTGTCAACTTTTGGAGAATTTTTATTCATTTATTTATTTATATTTTTTTAATAACAAAGCCCCACGCATGGCACGTGAAAGGAAAAGTCGGTCACTCCGAGTCTCGTCGGTGACCGACGAATTGGGATCTCGCTTAGAGAGACCAATCTACTTCGAGTGTAAACTAAACGAGCCAATGCACATTGGCATGCGATGATTGCATCCAGCTGCCGCTGATCACAGCGTGAGCATAAAAAGGCAGCCGGTGCAACGCATACCAGCTTTTCGCTTCAGGCTACACTACCCCCTGTCGTGCTGCAAACGGCCGTTTCCCCTGTGCGTCTCAGCACGTAAAAGAGCATTTCCCTAAAAGAGTACAATAAGCGGGTGCGTCTTTGTAAAGATGCCGTTTCACCTGTGCGTTTCTGGATGCGGTCGTTACCTGGCGCCGGGTGATACTGGCGCCAGGGTCTGTACTGAACAATTTATCTAGATATAATTTTATTTTTGATTAATTATAATTTGGCATCAGACTTATGTCTGTTAGATCTAAATTTGTGATTCATCCGACTATTTGAGAACTTGTTGATGACTTCTTGTTTTTTCAAAGTCTTGACTTTCAGGTGTTTTTTTCACAATGTGTCTGTTTTTTTTTTAGCATTTTAATTTACATTTTAATTTATGTTTATTTACAGAGAGTTAATAAAATAAAAAGAGAGATACACTACTCTTATTACTTCTCAACAAGAACAAAAAAAAACATAAAATGCATTTATATTTATATCTCCCTCAAACCACTGCAATGCAACCCTCATGGGATAAATGCTGTAGAACAGTCAAAACAAAACTATCATTGTGAAGTATAACACAATACAGGAACTGAAATTTTATCAAATAAAACAAAACAAATAACTAAAATAAACATAGATCAATATTACATAAGTATGAAAAGAAACAATTATGGTTGAATACTGCAAAATAAACTGCACAGCCAGAAAAACAGATCTTCTACCACATGAGCACTTTCCTCTGAAGAGCAAATGTGAACTGTATCCAGAGCGCTGCCATTAGCCTGTGAGTCTTTGGCCTTTCTCATAATCACAGATGAGATTATCGTAATAACAGTGTTGTAGTAATTCCCAGCTGCCTGAGTGTGAGTTAGAGTGAGGCTGCGGTTTGCGAGATTTACAGGAGAGGCGATCCTCGCGCTGAAACCCTCCACTGTAATAACAACATTCCCCCTGAGCGCAGGAAAGTGTAGCCTAATCTAAATATTATCGCATGCTAGACAGGAGGAGGAGGGTCAGTGCACTGGGATCAGGCACAGAAGCCCGATCGATTTAAGTGAGGGGCTAATCTGTTCCTGCTCACTAAAACCACTTCATCTAGATTTGATTAAACTTGATGTGTATTATGGTTTTGATTTGACAGGTGACATGTTCCAGCTAACGCACATTTTTCTCATTTCAGAGAGTTTCAGTTGAGCGTGGTGGCACACTTTCTCACATACAGAAACACGGTACACACACACACACACACCTGGTAGGCTGGGAGACGAGGGCGTCCTTGTGCAACCGGTAGCAGGGGTAGCTGTTGAAAGTCCCAGGCTCCAGTGAGACACCTTGCACATTGCTGTAGTGCTTCTCGACCAAACCAAACATCTCCATCATACGGAAACCTGTGAAGGACAACAGATAAATGTCAAGAATGCTAATCTAATGAAACAGTACCGTTTAAAGGTTTGAGGTCTGTAAGATTGTTTTTTTTCTTATGCTCACTAAGGGTGCATTTGTTTGATCAAGAAAAAAACAGTAATATTGTAAAAAAAAAAAATTGATTATAATATATTTTAAAAAATGTATTCATTCCTGTGATTACTCCAGTCTTCAGTGTCACATGATCCTTCAGAAATCATTCTAGTATGCTGATTTGGTGAAGAAACATTTCTCATTATTATCAGTGTTGAAAATAATTGGAAAAAAGCAGCTAAATATTTTTTGTGTAAACCATGAAGGATTCTTTGATGAATAGAAAGTTAAAAAGAAAAATTTGTTTCTTTTTAACAACGTAAAAGTCTTACTTGTCACTTTTGATCAATTTAATTCATCCTTGCAGAATAAAATTATTTATTTATTTTTTTAAAAATAATGTACTAACCCCAAATATTTAGAGAGTAATGTATGTACATCAAATGAAAGTAAATTAAGAAATTTAAAAAAAATATTTAATGAGAAAAGGTGATTAATTCGGTGACCTGCATTTCTTGTCTTAAAGTCTGTTTTTCTATGTTAAAGACTTTCCTATGGCAGATTAATATTTTACATTATACATTAGATTATAATGGTCTATTTTTAAGCTTATAATTTCCCTGAAAAGTGTAAACAGTAGCTATGGCAAAACGTTTTTTTGAAACAGCAACAACAGCTCAACCAACAGTGTGAGTTTGGGGGTGGGTATGTTTGTCCATCCAGTGAAAGACAGGCCGGGTGAAGAGGAAACTTAAGTGTGCTTTTTTCTTTCTTCCAGATCTAGATTATGGTGTGAATAACATGACCCACTGGTCCTAATTAAGTAAAGGGGTTGTTAAATACTGACAGTGGATGAATAGATCTAATTCTTCAAATAAATCCTTAGATCCTATCCTCCAACCCAGCACAATGATGTAGAGGTTTGTGTGAACCAGGAGCATTTATTGTTGTCTTACCAGCTAAAGTGTTTCCGCTCATCAACATCGAGGGGCAAGCTGTAAAAGAATAAAAAGAAGAGGTGCAAAAACTATTAATTCCACAAGAACAAAGTGATTTTTGGAAATTATTTGATGCATTCAAATATTTTTTTTCTGTTCAGAGACCATTTTAACAGCAATAGATTTCAAACTTGTATTTTAGACTTGACATAAGCTTGAGTCTCAAGGGATGATTTCAGAGAACAGAAGAGCAAGAACTTATCCAAAGTAAAGAAGTAATCCAAAAGTGATTACCCTGCAATCTAAAAAGGCTTCACACTTTATTCATCCCTTAAAAATATCACAAGTCATTGCTTACCTATTTTCCTCTGAGACAAAGTACACTTGCAAACATGCCAAGGTCCCTGGTCAATCGCATTTAGTGGTCATTATTTAAAATATATTTGGCCAATCAGAGTATTCCAGAGAGTTGTGTAATAATGTAATGAATTAATGTTATACACAACATTGTGACATACTGAGATAGCAACCTTATTTCACCGTTTTAAAAGCCATTTGTTACTGCTACTCCATCAACCTCTGATTTTTTTTTTATTTATTTATTTTGACAGTATAATTCATTTTAAAGTCGCAATGAAACAAAGTAGCGACATATCTTTTCTTCCATACTGTGACACATTCGAGTGTAACATATTATCGACAAAGAAAAAATGTGCTTTGACTTGTTTCTATGTATTGATTGTGGATTTTGAGATGTGGGAACTCTCAAAACTGGGACAGTTGAATGCAATTCATCTTCGACTTAATGTTGAAGTCTGTCCAGCTACAAGCCAGAAATACTTTGATTCAACACTTTCAGTTTATAATATGATTGGTCTTAAACTGTATTTATTGACTTGACTTATTATTATTAATATAATATATAGATAGCAAACATGATACATGATATTAAACACTAATTATTGGAAATGAGTGTTTCAACCTCATCAGAATGTCTTGAAAGTATAACATTAATTGTAAAAGACATAGTTCTGGTTTCTGATTGGTCAATACAGCATCCTAGATGTTCTCAAATGCAGAAATAATGTACTAACCCCAAATATTTAGAGAGTAATGTATGTACATCAAATGAAAGTAAATTAAGAAATTTAAAAAAAATATTTAATGAGAAAAGGTGATTAATTCGGTGACCTGCATTTCTTGTCTTAAAGTCTGTTTTTCTATGTTAAAGACTTTCCTATGGCAGATTAATATTTTACATTATACATTAGATTATAATGGTCTATTTTTAAGCTTATAATTTCCCTGAAAAGTGTAAACAGTAGCTATGGCAAAACGTTTTTTTGAAACAGCAACAACAGCTCAACCAACAGTGTGAGTTTGGGGGTGGGTATGTTTGTCCATCCAGTGAAAGACAGGCCGGGTGAAGAGGAAACTTAAGTGTGCTTTTTTCTTTCTTCCAGATCTAGATTATGGTGTGAATAACATGACCCACTGGTCCTAATTAAGTAAAGGGGTTGTTAAATACTGACAGTGGATGAATAGATCTAATTCTTCAAATAAATCCTTAGATCCTATCCTCCAACCCAGCACAATGATGTAGAGGTTTGTGTGAACCAGGAGCATTTATTGTTGTCTTACCAGCTAAAGTGTTTCCGCTCATCAACATCGAGGGGCAAGCTGTAAAAGAATAAAAAGAAGAGGTGCAAAAACTATTAATTCCACAAGAACAAAGTGATTTTTGGAAATTATTTGATGCATTCAAATATTTTTTTTCTGTTCAGAGACCATTTTAACAGCAATAGATTTCAAACTTGTATTTTAGACTTGACATAAGCTTGAGTCTCAAGGGATGATTTCAGAGAACAGAAGAGCAAGAACTTATCCAAAGTAAAGAAGTAATCCAAAAGTGATTACCCTGCAATCTAAAAAGGCTTCACACTTTATTCATCCCTTAAAAATATCACAAGTCATTGCTTACCTATTTTCCTCTGAGACAAAGTACACTTGCAAACATGCCAAGGTCCCTGGTCAATCGCATTTAGTGGTCATTATTTAAAATATATTTGGCCAATCAGAGTATTCCAGAGAGTTGTGTAATAATGTAATGAATTAATGTTATACACAACATTGTGACATACTGAGATAGCAACCTTATTTCACCGTTTTAAAAGCCATTTGTTACTGCTACTCCATCAACCTCTGATTTTTTTTTTATTTATTTATTTTGACAGTATAATTCATTTTAAAGTCGCAATGAAACAAAGTAGCGACATATCTTTTCTTCCATACTGTGACACATTCGAGTGTAACATATTATCGACAAAGAAAAAATGTGCTTTGACTTGTTTCTATGTATTGATTGTGGATTTTGAGATGTGGGAACTCTCAAAACTGGGACAGTTGAATGCAATTCATCTTCGACTTAATGTTGAAGTCTGTCCAGCTACAAGCCAGAAATACTTTGATTCAACACTTTCAGTTTATAATATGATTGGTCTTAAACTGTATTTGGCTCAGTGGTAGAGCATTGCATTAGCAGCGCAAAAAGTCGTGGGTTCAATTCCCAGGGAACACACATACTGGTAAAAAATGTATAGCCTGAATGCACTGTAAGTCGCGTTGGATAAAAGCGTCTGCTAAATGCATAAATTATTAATTATTATTATTATTTACTCATAAAAATATGTAAATAATGTCAAAGTAAATAAACTAATTTTTATTAATTATATATTGAAAAAAATATTTTTATATTATAAATACAGATATATTTACATTTCATAACATTTAAAATATTTGTACTAATTATAAAAATACTGATTACACACAAGTTGATTTTGTGTATGCTCTAGCACTTAAACTTTCATTTGCACCTGGTTGGGTTACAAAAAATCTGCGAGCCAACGCCGATCTCACCTACTATTTTTAAGCTCACAAAGTGCCAAGTGTTTAGCACAGAGCAAAACAAAGTCAGACCCCTGATGAAATGAATTTTCGAATCACGTTTTGCGTGACATCCCAGCTGTCACTCCCAGCAGACCTGAACTGTGGGGTCTAACAAGCTGCACTGCCCCGTTTCAATATTTTACCATTATCACCAACTTGGCACTGCAGCTGCAAGACATCAGCCGGGCTGCTCATTTCTAATTTGCATCTCTAATCTCTCAGAAACGTCTCAGGTTCCCCTGGATCAGCGAGTATTAGACACAATCCCCTCACAAAAGCTGCACTCTGAATAAAATATGGACGGGCATCTGAGATGCTGCACTTTGGCGATATATTGCGACGAATTGAACAAGGGGACCCTGTGGCTATGCCTGACTGACTTCTGAAGCTGCCTGTTTCTCTTTCTGGCTTTTCTTCAGCTCCTTTCAGAGGGAGACAAATGACGGATTCCAACTAAGGAAGCAGACGACAGCACCGTTTGAAGTGTGAGTTATTTTGTTTTAAAATAACAGGTGAGGAAAAAAATTATTTAGACTGCAGATTGGCGTTGTGGCCAACTGTGGCCTCGAACTGACGGAGGCAAAAGCACTGCTGATTGACTGACAGATGAACAAGACATCATGACTGCAGCATCAGTCAAAAGTGGGCATGGACTGATCATTTGTGTTTGTGAGCTTCGGCTAATATTTTTCACTCTTAGCTTTGTTTGTGAGGAGAATAGTGAGTACAAATCAACTATAGAATCTTCACAGCACTTACTCACCCTCATGTTGTTCCAAACACATATGATTTTATTTCTTCTGAGGGAAAAAATGATCAAATTTGAAAAAAAATAATAATAAAATAAAATTAAATAAATAAAATCTATCTATCTATACACACACATATGTATGTATTTATATATATATATATATATATATTGTATATATACACACACAAAGAAAATGTATATTTAAAAAAAAATAAGTATAAACAATTATAATATATTATAATTTACATTATAAATTACAAATAATTAATAAATTACATTACCTTTATTATATTACACGTATAAGTTTGGAATCACATGAGAGAAAATTATTATAGAATCTTCATTTTTGGGGGGTTAATTATTCCTTTAATATTCTAATGAGAAAATATGTGGGTTAGTGTCATGCCATAGGCCACAAAAATGAACCATACCATCAGGTAAAAACTCTAAAAACATAATTCTCTGAAAACTTTGAACATCAAAACAACATCATCCCATTTAAATATTTTCCAAATTTCAAAGAAACATACTTAATACTTAATACTTAATGTCTTAATACTCAGAAATGACTTCTCTTTTTTTCTCCAAGTTTAAACACACTGAATGAGGCCAATCACTTTGATCCTCACCTCATCCTCTGACTATGAATGTAGGAAAATGCAGGCGAGGGATTAGCCCTAATACCCTCAGAAAATAAGTCATGCTCATGTTTCAAATGAGCAGCCCGCTAAAGCCGGGATGGATAAATGCACCGGGCTCATAATGCCTGGATCACACATGTCCATAGACATGTATCTGCTCTCACCAGTGAGGCACAGCATCTGTCGCCCACCCACTGACGGGGGGCTCATTGCCATGGAGAATATACCTTATACGGGGACGTTTGTGTGTGTGAGGACACAGCAGGGTGGGGGCTGCCGTTCCTTCACCGTGTGGAATGAGAGGTGTTTCATTTTAGAACAAAGACTCACAGCAAGACGAACGCAAGTGTAGGGACACACCGTGCTGCTCTGCTGCTCACTGAGCTGGAGCCATGCCACTTTTCAAACTCATACTATGATGTTCTTGCTCTTGGTCTTCTTAAACAGGACCTTAATAAAGAATGTTTGGCAAAAGTATTAGGATGAATAAATCTGGACACAGATTACAAGGAGATTTTACTGCTCAAAGACCAGCATGAATTTCCAAATTGGTGCAATAGAAGTTGGTTTATGCTGGTTAGTTATAATCTGGTCCAGATCTACCTGTTGGACCAGCATGCTGTCCACCAGGAAAACCATTTTGGATATTAGAGGAGAACTTTGATGTTTTGTCTCCTTGGCTCCTTGGCTTTGAAGGCCAATTTACCCTTAGATTAAAAATATAATTCTTTATCAGTGTTTATGTCTGGTTTTCCAGTATAAATATCTAAACATACGTAAAATAAGATACATTAATTAGTTGTTGTTTTTTTAAAGTGAAAGTGACATGAGGTGTAGCCAAGTATGATGTCCCATACACGGAATTTGTGCTCTGCATTTACCCCTTCCAAGTGCACACACACACACCGTGAACACACACCCAGAGCAGCGGGCAGCCATTTTTTGCTGCGGGGCCCAGGGAGCAGTTGGGGGTTCGGTGCCTTGCTCAAGGGTCTCACCTCAGTCGTGGTATTGAGGGTGGAAGAGAGTGCTGGCTATTCCCTCCCGCCACCTACAATCCCTGCTGGTACCGAGACTCGAACCCACAACCTTTGGGTTACAAGTCAGACTCTCTAACTATTAGCCCACGCCTATTGAAAATTAAAGTTCGTAATGCAATGCAGACCAGACCAGACGAGACCAGACAGACATACAGTATAAAACAAACAATAGAATGAGCAAACAACAGATAGATCGAAAGATTAAACAATAGAATGAGCTAACAATAAAAAGAAAGATAGAATGATAGAACGATAGATTGAACAAACAGTGAGTGAACAAACAGACAGACAGACAGACAGACAGACAGATAGATAGATAGATAGATAGATAGATAGATAGATAGATAGATAGATAGATAGATAGATAGATAGATAGATAGATAGATAGATAGATAGATAGATAGATAGATAGATAGATAGAGCAATAGCATACTTGCAATTTAAAAAGGGAGCTGCGAGTGTGGTATTTTTTTCAATGAAAGATAAAAATATATTTTGTGTGCATGAAGAGCAGCTGTGAGTGCCGTTTAATTCACTCTGAGGATTGAGATACATGCCTGTCTTGGTGTTTCCTCCCTTGTAGGTGATGCGCTGCACGGCGTCCAGCAGAGCCTCCTTATCGCTGTAGGAGCTGAGCTTGAACTCAGTCCTGGCGTCATCACTGAATTGAACAATGGCCACCTGTCAGTTGTAGAAAGTAAGTTAGCAGCCATTTATCACATGGTTAAAAGCAACAGTATATCAATGTCAGAAAGAATTTCCCCCTGGAATTGATTTTAAAGGACATTTTGGTACTTTTATAAGGGCATATTGTATTTTTAACATACTTTAGTACAGTTTAAATCCTTATATTTTAATAATCTTTTGTTGTGCTTTAAAGAAGTTCACTTATTTTTACTAACATATTAAAGCATGTAAGTTTTTTTATTATAATTTTTACTGTAGTGTGTTATTTAGTATTAAGTGAAGTGAAACTTCATCATTTCAAATGTGTAATTACTCCAAATCAATTATTTGAAAGTATCACTTAAGTGTATAGGCTAAATAACTCTAAAATGCACATTACCATTCAAAGGTTTGAGGCCAGTATGATTTTTTTATGTTTTTGAAAGAAGTCTCTCACCGAGTGCTCGCCCAGGAAAATACAGTACAGTGAAAAAAATCTAATATTGTGAAATATTATTACAATTTAAAATAAATTCTCTGTTTAATTTTGTCATTTATTTCTGCGATGGCAAAGCTGAATTTCCAACATCATAACTCCAGTATTGAGTGTCACATGATCCTTCAAAAATCATTCTAATAAGCTGATTTGGTGCTCAAAAAACATTT